GGCTCGTACAAAAGTTATAATCCCCCCGCCATGGGAATTCCGATCTCTTCTTTCCATCTTGTATCCATCTACCGTGAATAGATTGTTGTTGAAAATATATCTAATTTGGTTTCTTAAATTATAAGCTTGTCAAATCGTTTATCATGAAGTATTTGTTGTAGGTCATCAAGTTTATAACGTACATGTATACTAATTATATTTGGATAAATAATGATTGGTATTTTTCTGTTTTCTTTCCGCACATTGCGGAGTTTGTCAAAGATGTCGTATTTAGAGTCACACTCTTCTGGGTCTGTTGATAGTTCAATGTTGAAAAGTAACTGTTCTTAATAAGCCAGTCCTCCTCTGGATCTGGCTCCATTAATGATACGTGTCTAAAAAGTGATTAAATGAACTTAGGCGCGCTAGTACGTGACTATTAATTAATAGGAAGTCTGAATTGATAAAAAAGTGCAGATATGTATGGTAATGTAGTTACACACGTACCGATATGCCTGTATTATCGTAATTGCATTATTGCAGAGGGCGCTATTGACATTGACTTTTTTCTTTTCTTTTCTTTCTACGCAGCATTAATTCACTTCAACCATATATTTTCCGCATTCATTGTATTTATGTTTATAAAGTGTACTATAGTTATTCGGATCAGAATAATGTGTTCACGTTCCACGAGATGTATTACGATGGAATGATTCTTTCTAATTAATTAAATGAAGCATTTGACTGATAAGTAAACAAGTTGCAAGTGTCCATATTGATGTGCATTGTCGTATTTGTAATAAGAGTCAATATTTAAGAGATAATAAATAAAAATAGATTCAATACATTATAAAGTGTTTTTGTATGAAGGCTATCATCTTGTGAAGATATGATTTTAACTAATGTTAACAAGCATCGCAAGAAATCAGAATCAGGTGTAAAACATTATTTGTAAACAAACCAAACTGTTCCAAATTTCAAGACTGAACGTAAAAAAAGTGCTATTTGTATGTTCGTGCATCATCGGACATCTACGTTTTTACTGGGTGGGTAAATTCCCCTAATAATGAAATGAAATGAAAACAAATAACATAATGTTTATCTTGATGATGAATTGTATATAAAGATTGAATACGCTCCAGAAATAATAAGCTACCCATTTAAAATTTGACCTTGCATTCTCATCGTTTTCGCTCCTTCACACTTCCCCAGCAAAAGGCAGTGGAGCGACAGTAAGGATGCAATTTTAATGACATTGCTGACCCTGTGAACACCAGGGAAAGAGGGTTATTCCCGCGGGGAGCCAGACGAAAGCGTGAACATACGACAAATACTCAACTTTGTCGTATAATCATGTATTCGCCCTCGAAATTTTTGTCGAAAGTAACTTGCCGCTTTGTGTGGGGGTCGAGACCTAGGTGGACCTTCTTTTATTGTTAATTATAACATAAACTAATCTATATAACAATATAAACACACATGGATTTGACATACTGGGGTTTGTTAGAAGCTTACATAGAGGCAAAGTTACTTATCTTTGGGCTTAAATGAAAATTTAAAGCTGATTATAAATGCTTTAAATCTTCATATGTAAAACATAAACATACAGATCAAGCTTATGACTACGTTTTGTTCTGCCTATTTAGGGAAATGTCACATTAGTCTTCAATGTACATTCTAGCAATAATTCCCGCGTTTTTGCTTTAAGTTTTGAATAACTTATGTTTCTTGACCCCAGTGTCAACCTCATGGTCGCTTTTACTAATAATCAAACTAAGGATCAAACACTGGCTGTCGTCACAGGTAGGAATATCTATAATTATGGTAACTGTTTAGCGGAACATCGACAGAGCCTCGTTACCGCCTCGAGCTTGTATATTCCGGTCTGTAACGCCAGCCGGTGTAAGATCCTTATTTGATATGAGCCTCTGACATCACGTCATAATACGACCGTCCAATACCAGTTTTACGGAGTCACAAAAGGGTATGTTACCACTAATAAAACTAATAATAAATAGATATGCACTAAGTTTATCTAGTTAAGGGAAATAACTCTTATCCCACCGCAAAGATCATTTCAACAGTTGTCTATCAAAATTGCATATTGCCGACTTGGACAACAATATTCACTATTTCTGAAGAAAAAAAACACGGTTGCATTTGATATCACTCCGTGTACTATCGTTTAACGTCACCTCACGTGACGTCCGAACATACTATTATAGTAAGTTCAGTTAGAGTACCAACAGACACATTTCGTAACCAGTGGATTTGCTAATACCTCTGAGAAAACCAAGGGAGATTACTACATCATCACAATCAGGAAGTATCTGAAGAGAAACCACGTCAAATTAAAAAAAAGCAGATAATAAATAACCTAGATTAAAGGGATATTTTTTCTTGAAAATCCCTTTTTCAAATAATTGATAACTACGATATAAATCAGTGTTATAAGTTTTATTTAATGAAAAAGTGTAATAACACTTTTATTTCGACGTGACATCATTTGCCTTTTATACAAACATTGCGTAAACACTGCGCGCTAATGTATGCGTTAAGCCATAGGTGCGTCAGTGAAAAATGATTCTTTTTAACTTATAAAACCGTTCTTATTTTAGATATGTGATAAAAAGACTATTATTTTCGTGTAGATTCAACACTAAATTTATTGAACTCATTGAATAAAACAACATGCTAGCCAGAGATTTGCACGGAATGCTTTTTTTTCCAACTCAATAAATTTAGCATTAAATCTACGCTCATTTCTAATACTTAGTATCAACAAACATAGCAAAATATAATAAACATCTTTACACCAGTAGTCACGGGAAGTTAAAATACATCAAAATAAATATTTATCGTTTTTTTGACTGCATTAGAATAAAATGAAATCTTTATATGACGGGACGGAAGTAAAATATTAATGCTGTTGTAATTTGATACTCGTAAACAACCTTAGTTAACAAACTTTGCGTAAAATCTCGTCTCTTTTGTTCAATTGATGATTATCTAATATAGTAAGTTTCTCAAATTCTACCCGGTTTTGTATAGCTTAACTCTCCGTAAATAAATGAGACATTCAGTTTGACTTATATACATTAGTTAAAGCGGCGTGCCTCTATAGATTAATGATAAGTTTCGTGAAAATTTTAGAAATGTATTTGATGGTATATGTGAAGAAAACACAGACATGGAGGATATTCAAGTTTTTTTTTCTATAAATATAGGATGTATTTTATAAGCTTTATAAATTAGGTAGATCGTTTCATATATATTTACTGCGACAATAATTTAGGTCAGGTCCATTACATACACCCATTTAATTGTGAAAATTAAAACATAGCAGTGACACATATCGTATTCAGTATCTTTAGGCCTACACCGATTGTTTCCGCTAACACTTAGCGTCCGTTTCATTTAAATCTTTAATTCATTTTACAAACCGCTATTCAAAATTCACTAAATTATTTTTGTAAGAACCTAGATGTACATAATGATTAACGAAACAGCTAATGCATTTTAATGTCACTCTACTTTCATGAACCATTCATGAAATATTTTCCTCTAAAACGCGTCTTTCCCTTTCAGGTTTCCATGACCTTTTACTATGACAAGAAATAAATATTAATAAAAGAACAGTTTTTTTTATATAAAATGTTTACTTGTATAAAACGTTGTTTTCCGTATTTGTTAAAGTGACAAAAGGTTTCGTTCTGTATCAAATGTTGTACAGTGTGTTCATATAACGAGAAAACATTCCTTACCAAGTTTGGCTTATTTCTGTCAAAGAATTCGAAAAAAGCATAAAAGATATGAACATATCGTTCACCCAATACGGCAATGAAAGCAGTATGTCAGGGCTCAAAATAAACAAATAGTAAACAATCACGAAGAAATTTGCAATATTTTCATGAAGGTACATACTTTTTTGTGTGTCGCAATTCCGCCATAAAGGGATCTCTTCTCCATTTCCACAAAACTTGTCCGGACTACTCCTCAAAAGCTACTCGTGCAATGACATCTAAACTTTACAGGAATGACCAGTACCAAGTTTTTTGTTCATATTGTCGGAAAACGCGTTTTTTATTCAAGGGTTATAGCTCAGTCCAAAATCATTCAGTCGGTAAACCCATGACCCGACATGCACAACTAGACTTGGTACTGGTTATTCCTGTAAAGTTTTAATGAAATAAAATATTTTACTATAATGTTAAATATCTCGGAAAGAAAACCTTGATTTAGCAGGTCTGAATTGATATGACTTTGAACAGTTTTGAACTTCATTTTTGTATCCGCATGGCATAGTTAAGACAAAAATGCTTTGTCAAATAAAAATATAATAAAATAAAAAAAGAAGATAAGTTAAGTAGTGGAAACTGTGTAGAATGTTGGTGCGGGTTCCATAAGAGACGCCTTATATCCATCCCCCCTGTGCCTATTCCGAGGCATGTAACAAAGTCACAGTAACACCATTCTGTTTTCCATGTTAAGCAGCAGGAAGAGAACTTTTCTTTAATAAATTCCCTAACTACTTTGTAGAGAGAGAATGTCGTAAGTATGTTTTCCTAAGTTTGTGACAGCTTTCACTTCTGTTTTCTTGTAGGGTCGTGTCATTCGTACACAGAATACCAAAATGGGTGTGAGAGTAAGTTTCGCTGATAATTTTCCCCCATTTATTTGCTGTTCTTATCAAAAAAGCTGTATCACACATAGTGTGAGTGATATGCAGTGAGTGATATGGATTTTATTTCACTGATAAACCCCAATATCTTATCGGTTAGCATGTCAAAAGTATACATATCTATGTCGTCTGTATTTATAAAAGCTCTATTCAAAATATTTCATATTGAAAATTCTATTTTAAAACGGCTCAGAAAACACCAAACTCAGTATCAAATTACATCAGCCTGTTTACAAAATTTGAGTCTCAACCGAATAAGGAAGTTAAAGTTGATAGGTAGACCTACATTTTTTCCGACAAGGTATAACGAAAAGTTTCTATTCAGTTCAGTTTCATCAAAGCGAATGCTACTATTAGTGAAAGATTTTTTTTCATATTTTTCAAACTTCCTGGTTTGTAAAATTTGTACCTGTTAATCAGTGGTTCGTAACATTTGGTTCAAAGACAATCTTACACTCGTGTTGTGTTTATCATATCAACGAAAAATATAATATTAATTGGTGTTTGAATTCATTTCAGAATTAGAATGTTTTGAGCAACAATTTTTGACTTTAAAAAGTGAACGTGACACTTCAACAGTGGAATGTCAACAATGATTTATTTACTAGGACTTGCAGCTTTTCTGTTAGGAAGTAAGTAGAACTATTTAGATAAAAATAATATATTTAATTTTATCAGTAATCAATTTATCTTGATTAAGATAAAATTTCAATTTAAAGATATACTTTAATGTGACTTTGGTTTACTGTAAGAATTTATCTTATTTCTTTTTGAATGGAAATGTAAATAAAACATATTCGTTGATATTAGTATGAAATTATTTAGGCGAACAGCAAAGAAGTATAATGAGAGCTGTAGAAAATAATAAATACAATTTTCCAATAAGAAATGAATGCATGTAATTTATTGATTAAATATAATGTGCACAAATATTTGCAGTACCTATTTTACATATTCTTCGATGTTTGAAAATTGTTTTATTTGCATAATTATATACATATATAATAGTTTGCAAGTGTGGTATACACACAGTAACAATATCAATCACAAAACATACAGGATCTTTAATCGCTCACATTAAATTATTTTCAAGACCTTTCAGAAGTAGATTAAAATAAAATTATTCATTGTGAATATAGGATACTGTTGTATTATTGAATAACACAAATCCATGACAATAAAAACGGAAAACAGTGCGTTAAAGGTGTTGCGACCTTGTTTTCTCCGTTGGTTCCATTCTTAGCCGTGCATAACGTTATATTTGGAAACGGTAGCCGATGTTGTGACCTCTTCGGCAAAAAAATAATGTATTCATCCGCCATTCATTAATATTTTTTATTGACGGCCATGTAATAACTAACAGAAGTTAATGGAATCTCTTTATGTGTTAGCATTTTTAGGTTTTATAATAAAGGGAAAATTACGTTGTTTTAGCTTTCTTAGGCTCGAAAATTGATATCCATTGAAGTTTCAGCGGGCCTTGAAAAAAATATAGTATTCACGATAACGTCAGCGGTCCAACAAAAAAGTAAAGTGTTATGTTTTTATCGGACCGAAAAACTTTAGTGGTGTATAACAGGGAGGAAGCTTTTAAAAACACGCATTATACATGCGGACTGTCAAAGTCTTCAGTACAATTAACTATAAATGTTGAGTTTTAAACAATATGATTTCTTCCCTCGATGAACTTTTACCACTTTTTCTAGTAAAGTACGGTTTGATATAAAGAAAAGTACACTGTGCTTCGAAGCGCATAACATTACAGTGAACTTCTAGTCAGCCCCAAATGTTCTACGCTCTGTCCTTTAAATGTTTACATGCTGATGGTCGGTCACCATAATGCTATGGGGCTGCCGGTGATGTGTACTTTTTCTTAAACATTTGACTCAGTTGCAAACGGTGAAATATGACTTATACCTCACTGATATATTTAGTATCTCGCAAATTAGATTTAGATGAATTATCAATACAAAATAACAATGATATAATATGTCATAAAAATAATTGTATGCTATATAAATGTACGTTTATTACAGATATAGATAAAATCATACAAAGTGGTTAGATAATATATCTGCAATTTTATCACGGCAGATCCATACGATAAGCTTTTTTCATCGATCTTTCAATTTATGCATTGATTAAACATTTCTTACAGCCTATATTTATATAATGAAACGATCATCTGATAAAAATTTACACTTTAGATAACTCAAAAGGTGTTTTTGATCAAAAAGAATATTGAACTTCCTCTTTGCTATATATCATGTATGTACATGTATTTTATACACTGTCACAGATTAAACATTTTCGTAATTCATCTGTTTACTAAAACGGCATGGAGCCAATAAAAAGCAACTATAATCCAAGTTTTGGTCTCCCATATTGAATTGCAGTATTTATGTTTTCACATTTAAACGGCATCTTCAAGTCAATGAAAGAATTACGCATGCAGCATAATTAAAGACCATGAAGTTGTCACAGAGATCGACTTTAAAAATTCAGCTCGACATTCGATTAATCAATATCGAGGTGGGATGGAAAGCTCGCTAGACATTCAGCACAATATTCAGTTCAACATTCGTTTTTTTCTGTCCATTTTGAATTTAAAACGGGGATGTGAAACTGGCATGACTATCAGCCTAACATTCAGCTCGACTTTTGCTTTATTGTCTTTTAAAAATGTCAAGCTGGGATGTAAATAATGGCTAGACATTCGGCACAACATTCAAGTCGACATTCGTTTTGTACCTTTTTTAATGTCAAGCTTGGATTTGAAGTTGACTTGACATTCAGCAAAACATTCAACTCGACATACGCTTTGTCTTTCTTTTGAGTGTTAAGCTGGGATGCAAAGCTGATTAGACATTCAGCACAACATTCACATCGACATTCGCTCTTTTTCGTAACTTTTGAATGTGGAGATGGGTTGTGATAGATATTCAGCAAACATTCAGCTTGACTTTCGTTTTCTCTCTCCTTTTGAATGTTCAAAGTAAAAATGAAAGTCGGGCTGAATGTTGTGCTGAATGTCAAGCTTCTTCCCCATCCCAGCCCGACATTCAAAAAAGAGACAAAAAAACTTATATCGAGCTAAATGTTATGCTGAATGTCTAGCATAACACCCGGTTGAGCAGTCTTGCTTTAAAATGAATGACGTTCCTTACAAAGAAAAAATACATTTTGATTTCTTTTATTTTCAAGCTACGTTAAGCTTTGTTTTGTGAATATTACATTGTGCAATTTTGACTGCAATGGGTGTAATTTTGATTGTAATGCCACGTTGCGTAATGCTGTTGTAGATTGTTCTGCCATCGTTTACTGTTTACTGTTGACTTAAATGTTCCATTGCGAATGATGTAAAATGCTTCGATTCCGTTTTGGTAAATGCGTATTTAGGTTTGTCGTTGAAAATGTAAGGCGCTATAAGTTCTCTTGCTATACCTATGTTGTAAGATATAAAGTTTATTTAGCGACTTTCCAGCGTTTTGATTGCATTTTTGCAGGCACGAACGGAGCCTGTGTAGAATCACCGACGTTCCGTAAGCTAGCACATCAAACAATCCAATGTCCCTTTCTTAATTCGAACCCACATTGGTGTTGGGCAAGTGGTTTTAAGTCAACGACCTTAACCACACAGTAAAGAACGCCCCCGTTCGTTTGAGTTGTAGCTTGCTCACATCAGATTTTGAACCCACAGTGGTTAGGGGTAAATGAATTAAAGTCAAAGAACTTAACCGCTTTTGAATGTGATGCGTATTATTTTGGGATCTTAAAGATCGCCGCATAAGTGATAAAATACTGTGACATTTTTGTTACATTTATGTCTTTTTAATATTTTTTTTCATCAATATACACATTTTGATTTAGTTTTATAAAACGTCAACGTCTCTAGAAGTGCTGTTTTGACTTTTTTTACAATTTTGAATAACAGTGATAGTACATTTTCCGATATATAATATTTACTTCCTTGATATTATATTGCGCATTTCGGTTTCAGGGTTTGAAGTTAAGATATGGTTGGGTTAGCTCACAGTTTTAATCGACGTTATGCAAATAGTAAACCTCAAATTCACTTGATTAATAACACGTATTTTATTCCTTAATTAAGATAATGATCTAGTTAGCCGATATAACTTGTATGTAAAAATATCATATCATATCATATGACATACCATTTTATTCAAATAGCACAATGTTTTTTTTTATTATTTATTCTTTTTTTGTTTTTGTTATTTACGGCTCTTTGTTATTTACGGCTCAAATCACGTAATACATTATTTGTACGTTTACAGAAGCATAATTTTCATTTTATTTTGCACGCGTTTATAATCATTGGGTCAAATCTTGCTGTCCTATATTTCAAAACATATAAGTCAAAACTCTTCCTCTTAACATTTGTTGTTTTTTTTGTCAAAATTTCGCATTAGTTAAAGGCATTAGACAATAACTTCCTTTTACATGTATTAGATTTACATCTTACCTTTTAGTCACTTGTGCAAATATGAACAGATATGTTGTTAACATTTTCTAATTCCTCCACATTGTCTATTGCTGTCGAAAATTTTAATGACATAAGAGTTTTAATACAAAGAAATATTTTAAGGTTTCTTTTTCAAAGTGGGTTCGCAAGAACTATCATATTTCTGTGTAAAGAAAACAAAGAAACCCTTCCTAAAGGAATTTGTTAAATATAGTAAATAGCAAATGTACATTTAACAGGCCTACTAAGCTAGCCATATTTTGTATCTTTTGCGTTTTGGTAATTAGTACATTTGTAGTGATTATGTATATTTCATGTATGTCAAAATACCACTTTGTTTATACTTTGGTACTTTTGTTAAAACTTATATGTTAAAAATCCAACATATGTTTGCACTTTTTTAGAAGGTTAAAATATATTCATTCCAGAGACTATTGTACCTCTAAATAATTGCTAACAATTTCAATGCCGTAGTTAAAGATTATTAAAACAAGAAGTAAAATATCAATATTCCCCATAACGTAACAAGCAATTATTTTATTCTGCTCCATGGTCAAATATGTTTATCATAAATGAGACTAAATCAATAAATGAGCCGCGTCACGACAAAAGAAACATAATGAGTTTGCGACCAGCATGGATCCAGACCAGCCTGCGCATCCGCGCAGTCTGATCAGGATCCATGCTGTTCGCTTACAAACCCTTTTACAAGTAGAGAAAATGATAGCGAACAGCATGGATCCTGATCAGACTGCGCGGACGCGCAGGCTGGTCTGGATCCATGCTGGTCGCAAACCCATTATGTTGGTTTTGTCATGACGCGGCTCATATAACTTTATTTAACTTCATTTGTACGTTATGTCGATTTTAAGAAAACGAAGATAGAATGATGAAGTATGTACAGGTAGTTATGGAGAATAAACTATTTAAAATGTTATCTATATTTTTATATGTTCGTACATATGTAGCGACAATAGACGTATCTGTTCTAAGTTTAAACACCGTCATTTAGAAATTATCTATTACGTTGTATTCCTAATAAAAAAAACCTAAATTTAGAGGTGTTGGTTTATGTTTTTGTTGTTTTTTAAATGATGGGACAGGATTTTTTTCGAGATTTTTAATGTAATTTGTGGTCGATATATACGTGCAAAAAATCAGATAATTCCGGGGTTTTTTTTTTTGTTTTCTTTTTTTTAGAATAAAACTTTTTATGCAAAGTGGCAAAATTAAAATCTTTTAAATGCTTTCAACAATGATCGGGATAAGATTCGAGTATCAGTTTAACTCTAAGTCTATTTGAAAGGCTGTTTTTACGATTATTTTTCCGTTTTAAGTGCCCCAATTGATCTATGTAGGATTTTCAAATTTTATGTTTTAAGGCTTTTGAAGCTCAGTGGAGCTCCTTTAAAATGATTTTATTTGTTTATTGACTAGTGTCTAGACTTTTTCTGAGGAAATTATCTTTTACAGATTTCAATAATTTTATTCCTTGTTTTTTCAAATTATTGACCATTATAAAACATAAATTAGAACACTTTGAGAAATGACTTGGCATAATGAATAATGATATCAAAGAAGGAAACTTAAAACTTTTCTTTTTCATAACCCAATACTTTCTATTACTAATATATATTTTTAACCTTAACTTGAAATGTATGTAAACTTGATTGATTAACCGGTTGACTAATTGATATTTTGATCGAATACTTTTGCGATCAATTAAACAAAGAATTGAATTCATTCATTGTCATAAACAAAATTTTATCAAACAGTAATATAATATATCGAAATTTATCAACGGAAAGATCACAATAACAATATTAAATTAACAAAAATAAATGCTGCATTAAAGTTATAAAATATCATTTAGCTAACGTATATGTTTGTATTTAAAATGTGTTTTAAACGTAACTAAACAAGTCCTAGCTTGTTAAAAATGAATATTTTTGTCATGTTTCATACTAAGGAGAACAGATGAACGATAAACCTTTCATATAGTGAAGTTGTTTACAACAAAGGCAAATAACACTTATCAGGACATATTTTCATACTTGTCTTTTTCACTATTTCACATGGAAAATATATTTTACATTGTTGAGTAACTATGGAGAAAGGAGACAATACAATAAACATATACATGTTGACTGAAATTCACGACGCATACAACAATAATATTTCACACTTAATAAACTTTTATAGTTTATAAAGTTTTAACAATGTCTGAACAATTTTCTTCTTTCTTTTTTAGCTTTTAAATATAGGTTTAACAAAACAACTCATCGCTAGCATTTATAAGATAATAAATTAGGGCATTTTATAACATTCCGTATCACAGGTATTTCAAAATATAAAAACACTGATTTGTTGATGAAAGCAAGATAAAGCATAAAAAAATTCATATTCATTCGCAATGCATTTAAAACTTCCTTGTTTGAAAAGTTTATTATACATGTATATAAGAAGTTTAGAGATATGAAATTTCTAAAATAGTAAGCTAAATGCTTTTGTTCTCATTGTGTATTTTACATCTTAAGAAGAAGAGGTTCGGGTTTTAATTAAAGAAACGGATTATGTTACATTAACCCTCTTTGAATACATATAGGTTTTTATAGTTGAAATTTAATTTCGACAATGTAAACTATTATAGATATTGTGTGTTGAGCTAGATTTTCTTTATCATATTAAGTTAATGTTAAATACAAGTTTATTTATTTGAGCCGCGCCATGACAAAATCAACATAATGGGTTTGCGACCAGCATGAATCTAGACCAGCCTGCGCATCCGCGTATAAAAAAAAAAATTGGTACCTGTAACAAATAAAACAAAGTAAACATGCATTTTAAATGACATAAAAATATTTGCTTATGTCTACATATATATAAGAGCAACGATTAAGTATATATTTTAGTTTTATTTCCGCCGCATATGTCACAATTCCATTTACATTTATTTATTTCTATATAATCGATCAATGTCGTGCAGACTAATAGGCAAAATTTGCTATGTTATTTTTCAGCTGTAAGAGCGGAGAACATTAAGTGCAGCACCTCCTGTATGACAGGTCCAGATAATACAACAGATACATGTAACACTACTACGGGTCACTGTTTATATGGCTGTACCACGAGTCCTGTCGGGCAAAATTGCACAGTCGAATGTTCATCGGGATGCGAATTATCGTCACAGAATGACATAGAACTATGTAACAGCTCAACAAGAGAATGTTTCAATGGATGTAAACCATATTTTGTAGGTCCAACTTGTTCCTCAAAATGTCCAGACATGTGTAATATATCAACAGATCCAAAAGCGGAAATATGTAACATCAGCACGGGAGAATGTTTGTTCGGGTGTCTTTATGGTTACGCAGGACCAAATTGCACGATAACATGTCCGGATAAATGTGGAATATCTGAAGAACTGTATACACAAACATGCAACGCAACCACTGATGAATGCTTGTTTGGGTGTCTGCAAGGATTTGGAGGACCAGACTGCAAAACAAACTGCTCAAGCACGTGTAAAAGACCAGCATCTAAGGATACTGAAACATGTGACATCACTGAAACTTGTGCTTTTGGGTGTACAGCGGGATATGCCGGTCATAACTGTTCGTTTGAATGTCCTGTCAATTGTAGTACACCCGAAAATAGTACGGAAACATGTAATTCTTCAACTGGAGAATGTTTACATGGATGCCAAGATGGTTTTGCGGGTCTCAATTGTACTATTGAGTGTCCCCAGAATTGCTTTTCTTTCAATTATGAAACATGTAATTATACAAGTGGCGAATGTCTGCATGGTTGTCAAAAGGGATTTGCAGGGCAAAACTGCTCACATGAATGTCCTGTAAACTGCACCCATCCAACTATGGATGGGGGAGAAACTTGCAATTATACTGATGGAACATGCATACATGGATGTAACAAAGGTTTGACGGGACCAGACTGTTCTCATCCATGTCCAGAAAATTGCAAACTCCCTGATCGAGATGGTGAAGAAACTTGCAATTTTACTTCCGGGGAATGTCATCTTGGGTGTAATAATGGTTACACTGGACCTAATTGCTCATTCGAATGCCCAAGGAATTGTTTATTTCCTTCAGAAAATGAAACAGGGACGTGTAATTTAACGTCCGGTGAATGCTTCAATGGTTGCAATTTTGGGTATGCTGGGTCAAACTGCTCTGTCAAATGTCCGGAAAATTGTACAAAGAACAATCGCGGAGAAGATATATGTAATGCAACGACTGAAGAATGTTTGTTTGGCTGTGATGATGGACTTTACGGTCCTAAATGCGCACAAGAATGTTCAAATGTTGATGTAAACTGTGAAAAGTGCATCGGAACAAATGATAAGTTAATATTTTTTTATATTCAATTTTCCAATTCACCATGTCAAATTATCAAAAACTTGGAATTATATAGAATAGATATAAAATATATTTTTGTAAAGGAAACTTTAATACGAGAAAGTGCATATAAATTCTTTTAATTTGAATTTAACGAAATATGATTGACGTCGAGACGTTTAAGAAATTCAAATGTCTTTTCTCTATTTTCTTAGGAGGGGGGGGGGGGGGGGTGATGTGGTGTGATGTGGTGTGATGTGGGGGTTGGGGGTGATGTGGTCTTTCCCACTTATTAATAATTGTTGAATTAACGAGAAAATGCAACAGGGGTTTTAAACATAATTATATCTTCTTTTGAGATTTTTAAATGGGATTAATGTTGTAACGGCAGTCATATTGCATAATTCCCTATTTCCCATTTTTTACACTGACAGCAGTATGATGCACTATTTTAAAAGTTGCCCATGTACTTCATCTCATTGTGGTGATATTTAATTTGGTCCTACCAGAAGATTGTCCAGTTTTTTTTTTGTGTGGACCTCTTAAAATCTTAGCTACGTTACTTGATTTACCGTAAAGCACCTTTGTTTGTAAATCTTTTTCCTTGGGATTAGGGTGGACTATAGCTTTAATATTATTAGTCTTGACTGTAACTTGTCAAAATTCATTATAGCCAATGTTGGATTATCGGTACCGTCGTTTTTGGATTGTAAAACACAGTTTGTTTATCTTTGTCACATACTCGTATATGTAGGATTAAAAAGAATCAACTTGTGAAGTATTTTGATGTGACGTACCATTGGAGATATGGAACCTTTTAATTCTCTTTATTAGGCTTTATTTGTTGTTAGGTGGTTCAAGTATTTCATACTTGAATACATTTTAGTCATCCATAGGCCTAGCATACGTTGCCTGCTTTGTAAATGTGTCTTTGGACAGCTTTCATGGAACTTTGGAATGCAGATTTCATAACCTTTGATTCCCTTTCAAAAATCCACTTTTTAGTTCTCAATCAGGACGCACGCATTTCTTACATGGGGACCATATATTGCTTATCATCGAATGCTAATCATTGAGTGACACGTGTCACAATGAAATTTCACTGATAACCGCCGTATGAATAAATCTACGGATGATTTTAATACTAAATTTTACCATTTATTTTTAAATGTTTAATTTTGCTTAGGCCGGTGCTAGCGGGCGTGAGTGGAAGCTAGCATTTTCCAGTACCATGAACAGGCTAAGTAAAAAAAAATTCAATTTTGCCGTTTTGGACGTACTTTATTTATCTATGATTGATTTATAATGTTCTGATTCAAGAGCACTACTTGCCCTAACATGTTTCGAAAGAACAAAAGTTGTTGCTTAAATACTTATAAGTAGACCATAACCCACTGGAATCATAAGGAATGTTTATGTTAGTTAATTATAGTTTTCATTTTACATATATCTTACACAATTTGTAAACCACTTGCTTTTGTTATTAAATGTATAAATTTAAATAACATCACTCAATAAACAACATCGTCACATGAACCAGTAACTGATTTACTACCATATTTTGTGAAAAGCCGACGTCCAAAGTAGGATTTTATAAATTAGAAGTATGCATTTTGTTAAATGACATACATTCTAACACACTCATCTGAAAAATATGGTAGATTAAGTAGAAAGGTTTATGTGCACTTGGTCCACATAATATGATAAATATCTCAGTATCTGTAAATGGTAATTATTCAGTCCGTTAAAATATTTTCAAGGAGGGTGGTGATTTCAAGTCAAAATTCAGATGGCAGATACTTAACCACAATGCTTCCATTTCTTTTGCACAACTATATTTAACATTATCAAGTGGAACTTCCATTTTGTTAAACATGGCAATTATGACATTTTTGGTAAAAATAAAAAATGTTGCAAACTCGATTTGGTAAAACTTGCACAAATTAATGTTCAATGTTCTAAAACAATTAAAAGGACGTTCTTAATTCCATCATTTTCTATTTAATAAGTGGAAGATGGATGAAAATTATCACTGTCGCTCTTTTGTCAATCCGAGTCTGGAACAATATTACATGAATTGTTGAGCGATTTATATGTTTCCTGTTTTATCTATTATTAGGAAATAGATATAAATTTTGAGTGCATTGTTGTAGAATAATACACAGTTCAAATTCAAAATCATATAATCACTCACTAAGCCAATAGGCGGATAGATCAATGTCTTTTTCATTCTTACATGTTAATAAAAAAGATTATCACACACCCGTGCCGATTTTGCGACTCCGTAAATATGGTATTGCACGGCCGTGCATATATTTTGACGTGACGTCATTAGCGTTATACAAACATAGTGTAAAGACGCGCTAATTGTTAGCGTTATACTATAAGCGCGTCAATGAAAAATGACTCTTATTTCACTTTAAACGGTCTTTATTTTGGGTATGTGATAAATAGAATATTAAATTCGTGTAAGTTCATTACTGAATTTATTGCACTCGTTGGATAAAATAATATTATGCTCGCCAGAGGCTCGCATAATATAATTTTATTCAATTCGTGCAATAAATTCAGCATTGAACGTACACTCATTCAATATCCTCTATGAATTGATAAAAATGAGCATGAGCGTAGAAATAAATTTCCAGACGTCATATTTTATTGACGTCATATCTGACGTCCTATGACGTGTAAGTATTAATTCGTAATGTTGTGAATTTATCGTGTAATAATGCACTTGATTGTCCCATCTTTTTGCATGGGAAATAGTGTGGAGCTTATTAGAATTTTCATTTGATAATGAATTCCTAGAATCACAAAATAACAAAATAACAAAAATTATCATCTATGCAATTACATTTTCTCCCCAGCGCCATTGTATGCAAGCGATGTAGCTTGAACTTTTATCTGTCGCCTGCAAAATGTTTATCATGCGGTTACTGGTGTATATCCGTACCCGGCGTGCCGGTATGTAGGCAAGAGGATGGTCATTGCAATCACGGTTGTAAACCAGGACGATTTGGTTCTATGTGTGATAGACGCTGCAGCAACACGTGTAAAGATGTGTGTGACAGGGACACAGGTAATTAATGCATTTTCTTAAAAAAGATAAGTAAATGAAAACTAACAATAATAACGTAAAAATGCTCGTGTTATATATTATAGTTTTCATAGTAAGCAATTAACACAAATTTCAAATTTGTTTTGAAAGGCAGCACTGTTGGTTTTGTTGTTGTTGTTGTTGTTTTTTTTTTAAGAGTTGTTTCCACTATCTGAATATACAATTAAATGCTAGAAATAGAGAAAAACATATTCCCTAAAGAACGCCCGAAACGGGGCAAAATTTCTAAAACTCATTTTCGTTTGAAGAAATAAGATTTTATATTAAAGACTTACGTATCTTACAGCGAAGAAGTGAATATACAATGGCGATTTGATATATTTAAGTGGTTTGGTTAACGTTTATTATTATCTTAAATAAAAGAATCACAAATAACTTTTTCCGCAATATATAATAATGTATATTTTTCATACAGGTTGCCAGAATCTAATAATGCTTTATTATCAAATTTATAATACTGCACGTTTGTAACGTCATTTTTCATTGGATAATCGTGACGTTTATATAGTTTTATATACACGGATGCTGTCGATTCATGAATAACTCTTACTTTTTCTCTAAAAATGATGTTTGCTGTATTATAAATTCGTTATAAAAATTGTTGACAGGTTATATGGCCGTATATAAACGGCTGTTTGCAATATAACCCTCGCCTTACGGCTCGGGTTATATTTACAAATAGCCGTTTATATAGGTCCATATAACCTGACAACGATCTTTATAACTAATAATATAACTCCTCGTTAAGGGACGTGTTCGGACTGTAATTATGCAACTTATTGTGGACCAACTTGTGAAATCTCGTGCCAAGATGGTTGTTTACATAGACTTTGTAACCAATCTTGTCAATGTATGCAGGGGTGTACGGCTACAAAATGGGGAGAAAAATGTTTGACCGTATGCAACAAAAATTGTAACAAACCCTCTGACCCTCTAGAAAGAGTTTGTAATGCTTCGGATGGGACATGTCATTTAGGGTGTGATGGTGATCACTTCTGGGGTAATCAGTGTAGTAAACAATGTTCTAATAACTGTGTTAACGTCACATGTGAGCAAGATTCTGGAAAATGTACAGATGGTTGCACTATTAATACTGTCTATGGTTGGCGCTGTGATACAAAATGTAACAAAAATTGCCTCGATGGTACTTGCAAAAGAGAAGATGGATACTGCGATAACGGTTGTAAAGGAGGTACGTACGGTGTAAAATGTGAAAAAACTTGTGGTATAAACTGCATAAATAGTACATGTACAAGGGAAACTGGGATCTGTGATGTAGGATGTAAAGATGGTAGTTATGGTGATCACTGTGGTACGAAATGCAGTGGCACATGTCTCAACAAAAGATGCGAGAGGAACAGTGGCAATTGCACTGACGGCTGTATTTCTGGATACGGAGGATATCATTGCAAAACAGGTAATGAACAAATATATGAGAAATGTAACCGTACTATTGATATTATCCTAGTGTTAAAGGTTGTGAATGTATCACTGTATCAATATTGCAAACCTTTTACTTTATAACAAGAAATACAAGCGAACTACTCACATTATTTTTACGTTACAGCTTTTTTTTCTATATAAGATTGCTATATTTCTGTTCTTGTGAAAGCTAAAGTAAACTAGATTTTGGTTTTCAAAATAAAATGCTTTGACTAACTAAATTTAGTTGAATCAATCATTTATGAAAATCATTATGAAATTTTATAACTTTACAGCAGTATACTATACATGTTTTGTACTATGGCTCTTTACAAAGTCTCAATAGAAATACGCAATAAACATTCTGCATAAAATTGGTTTTGGGGCATCCTCGTATAGAGAGCTAACTATTTCCGAATCATGTTTGCATTTTGCAGTGTTAGGTATCACACAGCCACCACCAACAACAGTACTTGGTAACAATTGGATCTATGTTGCTATAGGATGTGGAGCACTTGTTCTGTTAGGTTTTATGGTGACGATTGTGTTGATTACAAAGAAAAGGTTTGTTAAGAATTTATGATATTTCTATTAAAAGGAATTAATATAAAGCAAATAATTTTATTAAAAATATGCTATGCTCATTTTTGGGTAAAATAAATAAATTGCAAAACTTTATTGAAATCTAGAACATTCTTACTGAATATGTCTAACTTGAATAAGAAAATCCACAAACTATGTTTTTACTGGTCAAATTTATTTAGTTAAGCAAAAAATGCTTTTTTTCAATCTTAAATGCTTTTAATTTTGGTGCGGTGTTGTATTACCAAAAAGTTACTTATTGGCTAATTACCTGAAACATCTTTAGCTTTGTTTTTTTTGGCAATAAGTACAAATATAGGCTTATATTAAGTATTTAGTGATTCTTATGGAAGTCGAAATACAACTACGTTAACAAGTTGTTACTTTTATGGCAAATCATTTCACTATCAGTTGTACTTCCGCTCTTAAACCATTATTTAAATGTATGAAAACTAATGTCTGCCCTTTCTTTAGAACGACAAATCTCTTCGTTTCTGAGGCAGTTGTTTAATGACAATTTGTATACGTATTGTATGTACATAAAGTAAGTAAAGTAAGAAGATAGCATTTTTGTGTATTTACTCAAAAGATGTTTATTTCACATCTAAAAAGAGACTGTATAGTTATTATCAGTATTTTCATATGTTAAAACGAAGGAACATATATCTTCGAGTAATGAAAATGATTTCAGACATGAAAATACAATGTCAGAGTTGTTTTACATTTTACATTAAATTTCACCTCAATTACTTTTAATGGTAAAGGAAGTGTCCATCTAATATACTTACCGTATGTGTATCGTGTTATTCTTTTGCAATAATATATTCATTTCTATTTTGTTAGATGCTTAAAGCATTAACCGATAATCAGAAAAAACGAACTTATTGTAAGGTATGGGATTTTAAAATTAAATTGCAGCTAAAATTCATGTATTATTATAAACATTTAAGGAGGCAAATTGCTAAACGCAGAAGAACAGCTAGAATGTCTACAATACCCGATGAAAAGGTCATTGAAGAATCTCAGCGCCGGCACAAACATAAAAGTAAATAATAGAAATATTTCTTCTAATGTAAAATGTCTTATTTGCGCATTGAATCAGTCAATTTTCCACTTACAATTGTTTTTTTTTTCCTATTGCCTTTTTCCTGTTTTGAATTGGATTTCTTTGAATTCTACAAGCAGGAATTTCATCATCTACCCTTTCAGCTGATAATGATAGACATTTTATACACATGTGTTAATATCCCATCCAATAAGTTAAGTATTGTCGAGTGTAAGGTACATCTAGCAAGAAAGCTTATATGTTATCTCGTAGGCAAAAATATTCCAATAATGCAGTGCTAATATTTTCTATGAAATGTATCTTTATTTAAGCTGAAGGTGCCGGTGCCAGACTGACCCAATTGTTTGTTGAAAATCCACTTGCTAGATTTATGAAGTATCGCAGTCAACATGGTGGTGATTTAATAACCAAAACACCTATCACAGGCATCCTCAAAAGAGTCATAAATATGGGCGAGAATGACATGTTTAATCATGAGTTTGATGTAAGCAGAAACAATATTTTCAATAAACACTTTCTTCGGTCCTGTTTAAAGATCCTGTAACTCAATTTTTTATGGTTTTATATCATAAATATAATGCTAAAATGAAAATTCATCGATATTGTAAGTTCAAAAAAGCATTATTTGTAAAGATATAGAGGATATTGAATGAGTGTAAGTTCAATACTGAATTTATTGCACGAGTTGAATAAAATAATATTATGCGAGCCTCTGGCGTTGAATTTTATTCAACGAGTGCAATAAATTCAGTATTGAACTTACACTCATTCAATTAGAAAAATGAATTATAATGATTACATATAATGTGGATAAATATTTGCTGTACATATTTTACATATTCTTCGCTTTGGAAATTGTTTTAAAAGCATTATTATATACATATATAAAATTTCAGTTAAGCGTGGTAATAACCTTAATTACTACATACAGGATCTTTAGTTTAACTCTATAATGTCAGTTATTGCTTAAATGAATAAGAAATTGTGTTATTTGCATTTGTTTATTATCTTCATTAAATAAACTTATTTAACTCCGAGTCGTTTTATAGTTAAATGCGCGAACATTTAAAAGAAAACAACAATGGTACATTGTTATGATTGTATAGTAATAAGCGATGTACAAGGGCACATTAAAAACCCACACACCGTATTTGCTCATTTTACCTGATTTAGAAAGCATATAATTTCGCAGAGAGATAATATTGATATAGTTGAAATACATTTCCAGTGGATTGCTTATTGCATTTTCTAAGACTATTTGACGTGCAGAGCATTAATTTTACTCTCGATTTTCAGAAACTGAAAACTGAACTAACGAAATCACACGAGGCTTCTAGACGACTTGATAATTTGGCCCTTAATCTCTATAATGGGATATATCCTTGTAAGTAACCATGAATAAACCATCATTCTTGCCTATTCAACCATTTACCTCTTGAATTTCTTAAATGGCCTTTTCCAACTTAAATTTAAGGAACTTTTCATCGTCAATATTTGGAATATCAAGATGAAAATTTCAAGTTTGTCAATAGCCAGTATAGGACCTGGTGTGCAGTTTGTCAAGCCTCTATACTTTACGCAATGGTTAACCTTTTCCGGTTGCAAGAGCTTAGAATTTTAAAGTGTTTTTTTTTTGTAATCTGTATATACTAGTAACATATATTATCTAAACGTATTTATTTACGATTTGCATTGAAATATCTAGAAATTAAGTTTAGAAATATTCTGGCGACATTTTAATGAAAATTTTAAAATGTTTCGGCTTTTATTTAAGATGACGAGAATCGGGTTGTTTTGAAACGCTCATCATTTGAAGAAGAGGTCACAAAAAGGAAATCTAAAGGATTACGTGGCATATTAAAATCCGTTCGATTCTCAACATTTGCTAATTCAAATTATGAGGTAATGAAAGCGGATTCAAATGACACCAAAGATAAGCAACAAAGTCGCAGAAATAAAGGGAAAGATGGGTCAAATGGGTATACAAGTGTTGTGTTTAACGTAAATGACGAAACAGCTGAAATGAAACCATCAAAATCAAAAGACGAGGTTGATAATGATGACTATGCAACTGTAAATATTCAAGGCAACAACAAACAGACTACTGATCTAGACGACGAACCTCATGATTATGCTAAGGTTTCCTTAGGTGCAACCGCTGTAAATACTGACGATATCCAGGTAGACGAGACATACGATCACACACGTACATTTGGTCAGGATGGGACAGCAGGTACAAGCAGTGATTACGCCGTAGTAGACAAAGGTAAATTTGAGCAAGCTGACAATACAACAAAAGATGAAATTGACAAAATAGATGATGAGCAATGTGATTACGCAGTAGTTCATAAAAATACATCTAGGTCCGAGGATGTAACCAAAAGAGACAAAGGTGTTGGTGTCACTACAGCGAAGGATTATATAAATGCATCTCTCATTAAGGTATGATCTTCTTTCACATAATGGAAGAAAACATTTATCATTTCTATTATTAAAGGTATATGAGTACCATTGTAACGGTTAATATCGAATAATATCGGGTGATGCAAAACAAACCAATTTCAATCGTGCTTTCAGCAAATTTTTAATATATATTTATTTAGTGCAATATCACGTGAGAGGGTGTTTGTCACTGTGACATCTACAGTTGAAAAGAACAAATACTATTAGAGATGAGGTGTTCTTAATAGAAAGTCTGTTATACTACATGTGTACTATAAATAAGTATTTTGGTAGTATTAAGTCTCGTGCGTGATTGCAAACCACGAACTAATTATATTAGGATGTTGCCGTTAAGTGTGTTTTACATAAACCGATATTAAATATCTATATACGTATAGCAGATATATTAAATTAAAAAGTGTTCCTACTAAATAACTTAAAACTCTATCAATATTTTACTAAGAATTATTTTTCAAGTATGTTGAAATGATACTTTTCAATTGCTATTACCAATATGTAGACCAATCCACTTTAAGGAGAGTATGGAAGAAGTTTTAAGTATAGATTTTGACAGTGTGGATGTGATTTTTTTCTAATTAACGTCTTTTGCCAATTAATTTTTCACGTTTACTTTCAGGGCTACAATCAAAATGAAAAATATATTGCGGCTCAAGGTTCGTATTTCAATCGTTTTTTGTTTGTGTGTGTGTCTTTTCTCTCCAGATTTCAATACTTAAATTAAAAAATGTAAACTATTGCATGATTGCCGTTAAATGTTATCTTATAGCTCATCTCAGTGGCATATCTTGGGAGCATTGATTGTTATATTTTAAATATTGAATAGTCCTTTGCAAGATGTGCCTCACCGATATTTACCTACTTCATTTCTTCATTAGGAAATTGAATAATAGGTCTGCGAGGACATAATAAGCTCAGCATCAGCAGCATGTCAAAAAGGGTTTCGACAGCATGATCCGACCACCTTTGGGGGCCCTTCCCCAAAGGGTTTCCCCGGGTCAGGATCCATGCTGTTCGCTTACCAACTCTATCACAAATAGAGAAACTGATAGCGAACAGCATGAATCCTTGTCGTGACGCGGCTCAATTGTCTTTGTCTGTTTAATATACATTTTATATGTAAGATGTTTTACTTTCAGAGAGACTACATGTAATTCGATACTGTAATGATGTATAACAATTTTATTTTTCTTCTCTTAAAGGACCGTCAAAATTGACAGTAAACGATTTCTGGATTATGGCATGGGAACAAAAGAGTAGCTTTATCATCATGTTATTAGAGATAACTGAAGAAGGGGTATGGAATTTATATTTTACAAAAACTTCTTAGGAAAATAACACGCTCTATTGATTCGAACGAAATAAGTACTTTTGAACTTTTGAAACAAACGGATGAATTATTTGAAAAGTAAAGCCATGAAGCTTTTTTGTAGCTTCAGTACTCTCACAGTATATTGCTGGTGTTTACTGTAGCGTTTACAAGCAGGCTAAAGTATCTTTCTTTTTTATAATAATTCTTCATAATGTATAAGCATAGTCCTAGCATTTCTTCACTTCTAAAAATAAGGAGTCATCTTAATTAAACTGTACAAACTGTATAAAATTCGCGAAACTGAAATGGCAATTGATCCAAATTCTTCTAACAATACATACGAATATAAAAGAACATCGTTTTACTTATACATTATGTAACATGTTGTAGCGTACTCGCTGCGAAAAGTATTGGCCAGAACATGGAAAGGACGAGACTTACGGAGATATCACCGTCACATGTTATGATAGCAAACAATATGCTGATTATATCATCCGATTTTTAAGACTTTGTTCGGTATGTATAATTTCTCATTGTAATAATGTTTTAACAATTTACCTGCTGAATGTCTTAAGTGTAAATGTCAAGCTTCCTTTTTGGAACAAATTTTCACTCATCAGTATAGAGCCGTGTCAGACTACAAAAGGCTAATCACTGCTGGCTCTTGGTTCCTGCAAGGTTGTAAGGTAAGGATCAAGAAAGGTTGTGAATAATTTTGACTAATGGCTATGCCTGTAAGTTCTAGAGGTTGCATCACATTTACAAAAAAAAATGAAATCAATATATATCAAAATGATATGTTACTGACATGCCGTCCGTAATAATTCTGTAATATGAGCTGAATAAAAGTCATTCTAATCACAACTGACATGTGAGGTTTGAATATTACATGAAAAAGACAGGGACAATAAGCGTCTCTTGTTAACAATTATTATGTTAATTAACAACACGCAAATACATAGAGTAAGGGAGACGACTAAAAAGAGTATTGTACAATGGATAGTTAAATTTGACTTTGGTATTTACAAGGAAATATTGGTACATTATTTTATATATACATGTCTGTGATGAAGTAAGCTGCAATACATTTCTCTACAGAGGAAAACATGATATTAAGTTATATAAGAAAAATGTAATAATTGATAAAACTTTTATCTGAAACATATTTGTTCAGCCGAACCTACCTGCAACATAATTTGAATATTTCAAAATGTTGCATAGTTCGTTCTATAAATTCTATCATGTAAACATTTGCAGAATAATGGACATGAGAGGGAGATAGTTCACCTTCAGTATACTGCCTGGCCTGAAGAGGGTTGTCCAGTGTCCGCAATTGAGTTCATACAGTTTCATCAAAAATACAGATCGTTGACTAAAGGGCGACTTGGAACTGGACCTACAATAGTGCATTGCACGTACGTATCTTGTAACCTTAATTACCTTCTGTTATGAAAGAACATCAAAATTAGATTCTTTTAGTTTTTCGCTCGTGTAAAAAAACACAACGTTTGTTTGTTGTTTCAGTATTAAACATAATTAACGTCAATCTGTATAAATTTTCCTTTTCGTTTAAAAAGTCGAATTTGTAATGTAAGAAGTAACTTGGTTCTGAATACAATACAAACAGTAAAGAAATAATGCCAGACGTAGTAAAAACTTGGTCTTATAAGCTAAATAGGGAAAACACTGAATTTGCAATTCAGGAGTGGTTGGTTCGATGCTCGTGCGGCCCGAAATGTGTGTTTGTCAATTGATCTAAAGGTCGTTTCCCTCAGGCCGCTGATATTAGTAGTATTAGTAATCGGGCAGCAATATTAGATACGTTATTGCTGGTTAGTTATCCAGGGTAGCGACCACTGAGAAGAAAACATTTTAAATACATTACATTTGTTGTTATTGAGCACTGGGATGGTAACAGACTCGATAATCTTGACAATTTTGTGTTCTAAAATTATCATTATGTTTAGGGCTGGAGTTGGCAGAACTGGAGTGTTTATTGCGCTAGATATGCTAGTTGAAGAAGGACTAGATTCTCTTAACGTAGACGTGTTCAAGTGTGTTACAACACTCCGAGAACAACGTGTATTGATGGTGCACTCCATTGTGAGTTTATCAAAAAAAATTATTTGAATGTCTGAATATACTAAATATCAAATACATAATATGCACTATATATTGAAGTGTACTGTGTATCTAGTTAACTCTATTATAAACTTCTAAATATTATATTGAAAAAAAAATATTGATGAATTAAATGCATATTTTCATTTACTATTTTCACTGTAAAAATAGTTTCCACCATAATGAAATCTAATTTTCCGTATTTTAACTGGTGTCCCGCTGGACTACTTTCTTTTAAATTCACACAGTAAACAATATTATATAGAACTTTTTCTAAACATAACGTCAAAAAGGAGAAAAAGTATATAATAAACAGAATCATTGATAATTTTCATAAAATGAGATGACAATAAATCTCGTATTTATGAAAAATGAATTTTCTCTATGTATTTATAGAAATGTACATCCATAAAGATTCAAGTGATTTATCTAATATTAAGATAAAAAAAGATACCACTATATGAATCATGACAAGATTTAATTTTGTTTTGTTTCAATTTATTCTCATTAATAGATCATTTATCTCAATCAAAAGCAATATCTGATGAAATACATTGATGAACTCTATAAAATTTAAAGGAACGATTTATGTTGCTTGCATAATCTTATGGTTGATTTTCTAAAGATGTCTAATTTATAAACAGAATAACATGTTCTAAATAAAATACATGTAATATGTTGCTAATTTAAGTCAATTTTAAACTTCGTGCGTGCACTATTCGAGCTTAAAGAAATAAACTTTTCTTTTATACAAGTATTTTATTTTTCTTCAAAATGCATACAATAAGTTTGTAAACTCCTTGCAGCAGATAAATAGCTTTATACTAGTTATAAAGATATAAAAAAAGAACATCTTCTAACATGTATTTACAGGATCAATATGAGTTCCTATATAAGGTTGTGGCGCAGACGTTTGCCTTGGAAGTTCAGCCTTGTCATAAACTCAGACTTCAAGATAAATTAACAGAACTGAAAAAGTTTGATCATGACAGTGGTAAAACTAAACTGGAACTCCTTCATCAGGTAATGCTTTTGTAATTGATTATGTTATCACCTCTGTACATGTATTACTGTATGTAGCAAATGCATTTGCATAAGCGTCTTGGAATGGTAATGCAAAACCAAGACATAATTAAGTAAGTTTTAGTGTCAGTTTCTGTTTTCATTTTATACCCTGTTGGGCGCCTTTCCGTTGCCATGTGTTGCTGTTTTTGTTGGGGGATGCGTTCATTAAATGCCGGCCTTCCTTGTTCATCATTTTTTATACTTTTTTAATCATCATTGATTGAAAAGAAGTCCTCACATGAATAACAGAAATATCTAAAAAGAATAGAATAATGTACGATTTCACGCAACTGTTAAGTCTGTATACGTGTATAATGACTTTAACTGGATAGCTTGTAAGTCTTTTTTCGATTTTCACAAAGTTGTCATCAAGTACAATAATTTAAAATAACTAAATTGAAAACAGAGTGATTTCTCATCAATCCGATATCAACCAAAGAAATTCATTTCATGTAACTGTTTTGAAAAAAATCTGGTCAATGTAAAAAAGTAATAATTTTCACAAAAATGTACCTGAACAGGTGCTATTTTAAGTGTTTCCCGCAATGTATCTTCTCCGAAAGTCACATAGATTCGTACCCCTGGTTCATGTTTACAGTTATTAGTGTGGAATATAAATATAAATCATCTGTTTTTTTTTTTAAATAGTGCTTAATTTGAAGGCATCTTGGACATTCTTATCAATATTCAATAATGGTCTGTAAACGTGTTTGTTAATAAAACACAACTAAATAAATAACCAAATAATGCTGTTTACTCTGAGAAATAAAAAACCCCGCATGCATTATTTTGTCAAAGAATGACTGTAAAACAACTGTATGCGTGTCAATAATTTTCTAATACTTACATGAATCGGAAATTTAAATGTCCCATCAGTAGTAAATAAATGATTGATTACCGATGTATGATTATTATTGTAGAATTTGAAGGATTCACTAAGACTGGATACTGTTGAAATTGGTTCAGTTGATGTAATGCAGGAGAGAAGGAATAAAGATAGGCCAACAAGTGATGTCCCTGGTATGTACATCATTTGTTTTAACATATAAAGTTTATATGTTTTGTATCTTGTTTTTTTTAACAAGCTTGGTTACCCTTTTTTTTTGGTACTTAATAAAAGTATACACTTAAATGACCTTTTTCTTTAAAACTTCAAAAATACTGATTATAAATAATTATTAGCGATTAGCTGTTGATAGACACATTGTAACAAAATGCTGGGCTTGCTTATCTCATTTGTCGTTAGTATATATGTGATTATATTTCTGAATTTAAGCAAAAGGTTCATCACTGTTCTAATAAAAATAAGAAATTTTATGCTTGTTTCAGATGTACTATTCAGACCAGACTTACCAAATAATATCTACATAAATGCTGTCATATACGACGTAAGAAAATATATCTACAGTATAAATTATAATGGCTACTATCTTAGTATTAAACTAAATCATACACATTTATTTAATATTTAATCTAAAGTGACTTGTCAATGTGCAATAGTTTCGAGATGTTTGAGTATCCTTTGTTATGAAAATCTTGCATTTTGTCAAATCTGACCTATCACAATGATGAAACGAACATTTGACTTCATCTAATTTTTGCATTTGTTGGATATATTGGATGCATTTAAGAAAATTGATAGAATAGAATGAGAACATACATTTGCTTAATGTTTAAGTCTAGGCATGTTCAATTCATGTATCGAATATTTCTGGTATCGGTTATAGTAAACTGTATTTTTTTGTAAATACATTCATTCACTTGTAGTCTCTAACGAAGAAAGAAACAATCGTGGCAGCTCAAATGCCGACACCGGATACACTTCAGGATTTCTGTCAGCTGATTGTTTACCACAAATGTGCTACAGTTATAATGCTGAACCACTTTGACCCCAATGACAAGGTTTTTATTGTATTTCTATTTTAGTTTTTTTTTCTTTAAGTAAAGAAAAGTGAGCATTCTGTATTCGACGCTTCAAACATGTGGCAAGCTCGCCGGCCTAACCATTTTTTTTATCCCTTGTCGTTTGTCGACTAGTATTCATTTATCGATGTTCTTTGATATACATTATACTTTCATTTTACGCAAATTACAGACTTACTTAAATATACCACTCTATAAGAAACGCCTTTACACCTGGGATATAGCTTGTGAAAGATAGGTGGTTCTACTCGGGTGCCTGTTAATTATGGCATAAATTATGCCCAAAGTGGCACCTGAGGTCTCCCTCAATCAGTAAAGCTGGAAAGTTACTGTTACATTTACACAGTGTCTATGTGATTTAAAAGTTGGATCTCATACCACAAAACTATTGCTAATCACAAAAAGGTATTAGCGTTGCGTTGTCAGCATGGGTAGTTTTCATTCAAACTAAATAACTTACTTTTCTCAGACAATTACTAGTACGTGAAAATTGTTGTATTGAAATTAAAAATGTTTTGTGACTAAGTATGCAGTGTTTAACGAGAACGATTTCGTCTAACTTTAATGTTTATCTTAGATGTCAGTTGGTTCAAGATGATTTGAATATCTAGATAGCAAGCATTCTAACATTTTATTAAATATGATATTTATTTGAACATTTGCAATTGTGAATTTGCATTCATAAAAGACAGGGTAATTGCACCTTTGAGGCGTTTAAAAAATACCGTTTTATTTACAGTCGCTTGGAATATATTGGCCCACTGGAAAGACCCCTGTAGTAGCCGGGAAATTGATCGTATCTCAGTTAGATGTAGAAAAGGAAGCCGACTACATTGTTAGACAACTCAGAATTCATACACCAGAAGTTTGTATAATTATACAATCAAATTCCTTTGAAATCTGTTGAATTATGAAAACCTTTTTTTCTGTTTTACCAATTCCAAGGGATATGCTTTTGCTTAATAGTTTATTTTTCCAGTATTATTCCATATGTTCGTTTATGCCTTTCCTTTAACTATTACATGCTTTTACGGCCCCTAATAAACAAAACCTCAATTCAATCACAATTTTACCAAAATATAACCGACATATGTTTTTCGTTACATTGTAGACTGGAGACGATTCGGCGGCAAATGAAGTAACTATGATTCAATATAAATCATGGAAGGTTGTGAAGAATGTACCAAATGCTAAGAACATGATGAAATTTCTAAAATTGTGCCAGCGACATATTAAAGGATCACCTGATAAAGCAACCTTGGTTCACTGCCTGTATGTTGAAATATTTTACTTAAGATTCTCACTATGCATTTTTACATTTTTCCGAAAACATTAATGTATCCTCGGATAATGTCTTCAAGTAATTGTTGTCCCCCGCCTTTTCGAAGAAAAAGGGGGATATAGAAATAGACGCCGTCCGTCTGTCTGTATATCCATCTGTCCGTCCGTCACACTTTCGTGTGCGGTCCATAACTTTCTCATTTATCAAAGGAATTAATAACGTGGCACAAATGTTTGTTAATATAAAACATTGTGTCATGCGCAATAATCAGACCTCTGCCTCCAGGGTCAAGGTCGCACTTGTTAATTCAAGGTCAACATTGTCTATTTGAGAGTATATATCGTGTCTGGTCCATAACTTTCTTATCTTTGAGGGATTTTGTAAATCCTTGCCACAATTGTTCACAATAATAAGACAATATGTCATGCACAACAACCGATCACCTATCTCCAAGGTCAAGGTCACACTTGGAGATCAAAGATTAACATAGTATGTTATTGTGTATATTTTGTGTTCGGTCCATAACTTTTTCATAGATCAAAGAATTTTGAAAATACTTGAAACAAATTGTCAGATTTATAAGACAATGTTCATGTGCAACTCCTGCATCCCTACCTCCAAGTTCAAGGTCACACTTAAAGGTCAAAACGTAACATAGTCCATTATAGAGTATATTTTATGTTAGATCTAGAACTTCTTCATAGATCAATGGATTTTGAAAATACTTGGCACAAATAGTCACAATAATAAGATGATGTGTCATGCGCAACACATATACCTCCAAGGTCAAGGTCACACCTAGAGGTCAAAGATTAATATAGTCTGTTAAGGGGCATATTTTGTGTCTGGTCTATAATTTCTTCATTAATCAAAGGATTTTGTAAATACTTGGCACAAATGTTCACAATAATGAGACAATGTATCATGTGCAAAAAAACAGACTCCTTCCTCCAAGGTCAAGGTCAAAATTGAAGGTCAAGATAAATATAGTCTGTTACAGGTATATTTTGTGTTCGCTAAAGATTTTTTCATAGATCAAGGGATTTTTAAATTAGTTTGCACAAATGTTCACAGTGATAAGACGATGTCATGCGCAACAAAGGTAAAGGTCACACGTGGAGGTCAAAGCCTAAATATTCCTTTACAGGGTTTGATGCCAAGTTAGGCCCGTGCAAGTAAAATGTCATGTTCGAATTGCCAACATACCTTGATTGATGAATGGACATGAAATATACCATGTAACATATCATACCCTGTGTTGATTTTGTAGTGGCTTTCAGATATTGATTACATGGACACACATGTAGTTCTGTTCACAAATACACAGGAATTATTTCATTATATTTCTTAAATGAATTTTATATTTCTTAAATGACGTTATTGTAATGGCATGTGCAAATCATTGATCAAAATGTTGCACTGAAAGTCCAGATCCATATCTCATTTTTTTTAAAATAGCACAAGTCTGTGCTTTGTGTAATACTTCCCTGGGGTACGTTGGTAACTGTATTACAAATTCTTGTTTACAAAGTTATGAAACAATTAAGTTTTCAGCTCTTGCATCGTTGGATGCCCATGGTCGATTTACAAGTTAACAAAAGTTAAACGTTAATGGTTCGGCCGTGGTTATCCGATGATGAGATGGATTCGATGTAATTGTTGGTATCTCAATTAGAATATCGCCAATAATATGACAGTTTTATCAAATTTAACAAGTTTATTTGTGTTTTTGTTTTTCAGGAACGGTGCTGAGCAGAGTGGCCTGTTCTGTGCCTTGTTGAACCTGTACGAGTTTGTGGACACAGAGGACGAGATCAGTGTCCCGAGTGTGGTCAGGAGAATACTGGCCAGGAGACCGAATGCAATATCCGCTACCGTAAGTAAATGTGTTGTTGTTTTTATTATTTTTTATTATGATATGAACCGTGTCATGACAAAACCAACATAATGGGTTTGCGATCAGCATGGATCAAGACCAGCCTGCGCATCCGCGCAGTCTGATCAGGATCCATACTGTTCGCTATCAGTTTCTCTACTTGTAATAGGGTTGGCAAGCGAACAGCATGGATCCTGATCAGACTGCGCGGATGCGCAGGCTGGTCTAGATCCATGCTGGTCGGCAAACCCATTATGTTGGTTTTGTCATGACGCTGCTCATATCTGATTTTATTAAAAAATCTCACATGATTTTACTTCATTGATTTAAGAAAAGTTGTTTAAGTACATCGCTTAGCTCTTTAAGAATACTGGGACTTTATGTATCATTTGTTGGGTGTAAGGAACATAAGTGCTAAAATTTGTGGGGAAAAGTCCGCTATATTCAAGATATATACATGTTGATAATAAATACATTAAGCAGCTAAGAGCTACAGCCCGCTGTAGTCCTTAAAATTACGTGTATAATGAATCATAAAAAGGAAAATCGCCCATGCACAGATATAATACAAAAACATGTTCATAAATATGTTGTTTATTTTTTCAGGATCAGTTTGAAATGTGTTTTGCTGCCACATGTGAATACATTAAAAAGCCGTGATGTTGAAATTAAATATTTTTTACAAATGACACTAAATGGACACAATGACCTGCTAACATATGACATTATGCTATATTTTTTATCTTTATGGGATTTGGAAGTATCGAAATTCATTTTGTGGATACGGTTTCGTGTGATGTTTTTTACTTTATTGTATTTTTATTGTATGTTATACGTTTTAAATAATTATGTAATGTCGAATCTTGCAATATCCATTATACATATTTACAAAATGTTTTTTTTTGGATGTACTTACACATTATCGGAGCTTTACATTACACTTTATGAAAAGTTGTAGAGCTTTTCAAAGACATAAGTGTGTAATATTTTTATACAATATTTGACCAAATATATTTTTCTTCATACGTAATCATGGATCACTTTATTTTCATAATAGCACAGATGATTTGTTTAACAATACATATGTCGTGCGGAGCACTTTGCTACGAGTTCAAACAAGTCAATATTTATATACCAAGTAAAATAGTTATCCAGACTGTAATATGTAAATAAATAAAGCAGCTCGTGCAAGAGAAACAAATAGAAAGAACTTAATATAACTGGGAATTCCTTCTTCATATATATGAATACATAATATAATATTTAGCCTGAAGAAAATGATAACAGGTAAATTAATTGAAGATAAAATATCTTAATGACGTTTTTTTGTCAAATATTCAAAACAGAACTTTGACTGAAACTAAAATATTGCAGTTAATAATGTGTTTGTTGACGTACAATTAAGTTTCCGAATCCATACGTTTTAATTTCTTTTTTTTGCTGAGAATGTCAAACATCAATATCAAAACTGATAATCTTTTGAAAGTTTAAGTCTTCAAAAAGACTTCACACTTTTCAAACAACCCACAGGGTTGTTTAGTGATTTAGTGATTCACATTAACAACCATCATGCCGCTTAAATAAAGTTTAAAAATGTTAACATATGTAAATAATTATTCTAGTTTAAATTAAAAGATTCGAATCGTAATAGGCTTAAACCTTTAATGATTAACTATGTGTAAGAAACGAGTGATTTTTTTCCATCTTTAAAAAAGTCAAGCATTAATTGACTAAAATGTTTAGATAATGAATATGTAAGATGTTTATTACCTGAATAATGTATTTTGACTTCCTTACAAAATACTAAATCAATAAAGCTATACCAATTGGAACCCGTGAAATTGGGCAGAAAATTATAGCAGGGTACCAAAATAAAAAGTTTTTGAGAAATGAAATTATAAGCATATACTGAGTCTTCTGTGACCTTAAGGAAATAAAGCCAGAATTGTTTGACACAATTATGCTCATCATATTTGTGTTGCGATTATGATGAAAAGAAGGCATGCTGTCATTTAAAAGAAACAACAAACTGTAATTAAAATGGATTAATGCTTTAATTTTTTTATAAGAACATACATTCAGCTGTTTTCTTAAAACATGAAATGTAATGATTATGTCCCTTTCAACAACTCATCTAACTGACTGTTTGGTTAATGGTGAATACATTAAAATAAGTATATAATATCATTTACAAAATGCATCAACAATTTTAATTATAACATCTTTGTATTTGTACTTTGACACACGATTAATTTCAAATTTTAATGTCTCAATTTATACGTAGAATCTACATACAAAATGTCGATAGAGATACATTAGTTTGTTCAATATTATTCTATTGTAATAACATGCTAACTGAGGCAATAATTATATATATATATTTTTTCTATTTAATTCACATTTAATCACTTCATAGTTTAAAGTATACGTTTTCAATAAATCATCATAACAAAGTTGTTGTTTTTTCTTGATTTTAATCCATAGTTGTTTAACAAAGTTCTTTAAGAAAGGGTCCTGCTCTCTCTATGGGAGAAAAATTCCCTCTATGATGGCATATATATGCCAACAGTTTAAACGTTAATTATTTAACTGTTTAATACAAAACATATCAAGATCATGAAATAGATATATGTTATGTATCTTATGAATAAACAGAAAAGGCCCTTCCCGGCAGCTAATAATGGGCTAGGACTGTGAATCGGGACCCCAAATTTGGAAAAAAAGCGAATTTAGACAAGAAACCCCCTGGGAAACCCATACAGGAAATGGATTTCAAATGTGCTGTTGCTTACTGCCGTGATCCGGATTGAAAACTACCACTTACACCACCATATATTAACACGAAAAGTAATTACTTAGTTAGATAGATAATTAATGTAGAAATTAAGAGTTTAACTGATGGCAGAAGTTTGTCGCCATATCTATCTATTACCATTGTCGTTTTTGTAAAGAAGACAAATGGTTAAAATTTGTTTACGCATGATCGACAATAATATTATTTCTATAATGGAATTGGACGACGAAAATAGCTGTCGGATAAAACATATTTCCAATCTAGCATTGACTTCTTACCTTTGATGTGACTAAAAATGACATACAGACTGAGATGGCATTGATGCAAAGCATCAAAGGGCGTCCAAGCAAGAAATGCAGCAAGTGAAGATGAACTAGTAAAATTCTTCAGTTCGTTATTTATTACCATAGCGTGACACGGATGACCGTTTCGTTAAACTAAAACTGCTTCTATAAAAAGGTTTTCGGACTTTCACAATGTTAAAGTCATCATTCTATTTATAGGTACAGCAATACATAATGACCCACTGTTTACTAATAAAAAACCCGAAGATTATTTGACGGATAAGATAATTTCATTTGAATATGTTTGCATTGCGAAATTCTCCAGTTCGCTATTCATTGTACATATTGCGATATTTCATGTTTGATAATCAAACACCCTCCCACCAATCGGAATGATCGGCTTACTTCACTCCAGTGTTGTTATATTTTCTGGTCCTTCGGGATCATTGATGCCAGCACTATAAAGTGTTGAGAATTGAGTATCGCTCAAGCTGGTGCTATGGGGCGTGAGGGATGTTGCACCTATTCATTATCCCTCATTTACAGACTCAATCAAACCGAGTCTGTAATTCTTATGTTATTTTGTTGTGATTAATGTTTCCGAGGGATCACTTTGTTTTCGGAATTTTGTACTTCAAAACAGCAGGTGTCAAGTGCCGTGTGGCAGCCGTAAAAAGTTGCCCCGTACTTCACTTCAGTGTTGTTATATTTTCTGGTCCTTCGGGATCATTGATGCCAGCACTATAAAGTGTTGAGAATTGAGTACCGCTCAAGCCGGTGCTAAAGGGCATGAGGGATGTTGCACCTATTCATTATCCCTCATTTACAGACTCAATCAAACCGAGTCTCCAATTATTATGTTATTTTGTTGTGATTAATGCTTCCGAGGGATCACTTTGTTTCCGGAATTTTGTACTTCAAAACAGCAGGTGTCAAGTGCCGTGAGGCAGCCGTAAAAAGTTGCCCCGTACTTCACTTTAGTGTTGTTATATTTTCTGGTCCTTCGGTACCATTGATGCCAGCACTATAAAGTGTTGAGAATTGAGTACCGCTCAAGCCGGTGCTAGGGGGCATGAGGGATGTTGCACTTATTCATTATCCCTCATGTTCAGACTCAATCAAACCGAGTCTGCAATTATTATGTTATTTTGTTGTGATTAATGCTTCCGAGGGATCACTTTGTTTCCGGAATTTTATATGATATGACAAAACGAAAAGACCCGAGAAGTTACAATTGCCCTTTCACAAGATCTGATTTCATTCCATAAGGGGCGTCGCGCTTAGGCGCGGACGCCAAAAAGAACAGTTTGAAACAAATAACATTGAAATGCAAATGTGACTTTTCAAATTAAACCGAGCCTGCAACATTTCCAATTTTGCCTTTTTATAATTAGGCGTTATTTATGTGTTTTTTATCCGATTTCCCAGCTTTGATATATGTTATGTATGTTTGCTTTTTAATTGATTCCAAACCTTTTAAGTATTGAAGTTCGTTCTAAGTGATTTAGCGATGTTTATCACTCCAAATTTTTTATATGTTTTTATTACATCGCTCTCAGACTATTCTCTCATTTATAAAAAAATTAGACTTCTAACTGCATTTGCTCAGTATTTTAGACAGATATATCCCCGTAAATATTAATTTGTGGTACTTTCGGATTATCATTTTAAATTTCTGCATGTTTTGAAGAATACTTTAAATACTTTAGATTCAATCAGTCACCACAGGAACTAAGTATGGTGGCTAATATATGCCATTTCGTGTCATCGCTCTTCCAAATAGAAGTCTAATAATAGGGCGATACGACAAATATAAGGTATAAGATTTCTACCCGCAAACACGGTTATTCGTCAATGGAAAATCTCGTGTCTTATTAAAATATCGTTATTTTGGGCTAAAATGCATCGTGTGTTCGTGTCGGCGCCCTCAACGGTCGATGGCGAAGACTCGATAAATGAGCATATTATCTTGTGTTTGTGTCTTTGTCTTCGACTTTCGAGGGGCGAAGATACGAACTGGCGGAAATCAGCCACCTACCTATGGAATTTTCTCTCTTTATGTATTAAGAAATACCTCAACATTTCATTATGTTAAAAAATAGGAATGAATTTTAATTTTTGTTCAAAGTTGCTTTATTTGGCAAAGCATTTACTTGTATTCTTCAATTCATCTGATCTGAAATTCATAACATGGCAAAACTTCACAAAAACGTTATGAAAAGTTCACTCATCTTATTCGTTTCAATTATAAAAAAAAACAACACAAAAAAACAACAACTTATAATATTTCACCAATTTTATCTATACCTCTATCACAAATGCGATTAACGTTTTCTTTAATATTACTGCCAAAGCTCGATTTCAGTATATTATTTCAAATAAATAACACTTCTTCGAAGAGAGAAAACCACAAGCTAACTTTAGGTTAATGTCATAGTGATTTTCCAAATACCTAAGGTTAATTCAAAACAGTTTTAATATAAAGAAGTAACACTCAACCATTCAGCATTATAGTTCAGTAAAATAACTTTTAAACGACGTGCCATTTGGGCAATCATATCCCAAGTGTTAATGATCGACGACTTCATAATGAGTCCGAATCCCGACAGGGACTTTGGATTTTTTAACTTTAAGAAGCTTTCCAGCTACCTTACGAAATGCCGGTGGTTCTTCTCAAGTGTCCGCTTGTACCTTTACAGTGTTGCAGTGACTTAGAATAGAAACCAGTAAAACAAAGTAACAAATTATTTTATTAACTCTTATCAATATTATATATAATGTTCTCAAGTCTACGGCGACAGTTTAACACTGCTCATGTAGAATCTCGTTCATTGTGTACCATACTTCTGCCATTTCTGCAAAGTAATTTCGAATGAATTCAGTTTGCTTTTCTTTGATTCATGTTAACTTATTGTGTATCAGTTTTAAACACACATCCTTTTATTATCTTTTCTATTCAAAATGTCCGTACCTTATCTCAGTATTTATATATTTGTCAGTTCATTCGTGACCACTGATTTCAGTTCTTAAATTTATAGTATTAGAAGAGGTTAAAATCGTTTATACCGTAACACCTACTCCTCACAGCTGTGTATAAGAACGACGACGAATGTAACAGCTATCGTAAGGCAATAAGATATTCTCAGGTACCCAGTTGGGTACTTCGTTCACCAGTACATCAGGAAAGTTCTCTAAGTATCAAGGTTAATTACAAACAAACCCTTAAAAGCACAGAAATGCTTACATCTGCAATAACATATGATTTATTTTGTGTTCATTGTACACAAATTCTTTATTATCCTAGGACTTCCTAGATGACACACATATGAACAGCTTTATTCGAGTAATACCATTTTTATGGCATCATATTGTTTTTGTCATTTACATACCCAGATCCAAACACTGTTGTTTTTATCAAATATTATCTGTAAATATGAGATACTTTAACATATTGATAAAAAAAACTCGTATCTTGGGCACCGTTGTGAAATATGTACATACAGAAAATGTTAAGTTCGTGAATTGGAAAAAGTGTGACTTTTATGCATTCTTTTGCACATGTTAGATACTAGATACTTGCAACATAACAAAAAATATGCACACGATCGGTTAGAACAACTCATAACGATACATATCAGATAAGTAATCAACATTGATCAATTTGTAAGAAATATAAAAGAAAAAGTACAGCTTATTTAAAAAAATATTCTGTAACAGTCAAGATATTGTGTGGTTTTGTAGTTATTCGCTATAGTCACATTATCCACATTGTCTGCCTCGTCCCTGTTTTGTGTCACTCCAGGGGTCACATGCGACTAAATATTGTGGGACCTGTGTTACATGAATGTCGTACTCATCTGTCCATCTTAATACTCATGACTGTGTTAAATGATAAATTTACTTCTCGTACACTACACGAGGTATAAAAGTTTTTCATTTTAGTTATCAAAATATCATGATATAACTTGTAAGTAATAAATTTTTAATTCTCATTTTTAATATCAGTATTTTTTAACCTCATATGATAGATTGATGCAAGCACAGTTACATTAATCACAACTTTATTAAACATTTTCAATACTTCATATATCACTTGAACATTGACAACACAATGTACATGAAAAGTACTTACAAATAAGATATTCGTGCGTATTACGTGCGCTTATGATTGGCTTTAAGTGTTTGTTTTTTTATCCTAGTTATTCTATTCTTTGTATTAAGGGATTAAAACCAGTGTGTAAATAACTTCCTCTGTTTAATCAAAATATTATAAAGATTAAAAATAAATCATCAATCAGTCATGATTCATTATCCAGGACACGAATTCATGATATTTGTATCGCTAAAACCTATGCCTAAAGAAATTTCAGAGTAG